TCTATCTATCTATCTATCTATCTATCTATCTATCTATCTATCTATCTATCTATCTATCTATCTATCTATCTATTTATTATCTATCATATTCATGTACAGATATCACACTTTAGAGTTTGGCTCATACCTTGTGTTTGAAAATGTCTAGGATGAATTGCTTGATAACAACTGTAATTTTCTTAAATATATGTTTTTCTTTTTATTCTAGAACCTTAATAAACAGGCCTTCGACCTTGCAAAAATCCTGTTGAAAAGAACAGTCCAAACCATTGAGCCATGCATTGCCAATGTATGTATGGCACATTTTAACATACTAGTGATTGCTGCATTTAAAAAACCTGGATTGTTTTGAATATTCCTTTGGATTCATTGTAGCAAATTTATAAAATTTGAAAATGAGTATTCATACTTTACATGCGCCATGAAGCCAGTTACTCAGCAATCGTAATCCCATATCTATTACACATCCCTCTCTTCCTTCCCACTATTTCAGTCAGAGATAAACTAAATTCCTGGCAAGGCAGTCATTCTGTGTGGGCCAGGTTTGATAAACAGAAGAAATGACACCGTGTACCACATCAAATTTTTAGACGGTCCAACATCTAGAGGTAGAAATAATTAACAGTGATGTGGGTTATAACTGTCTTGTCACTTGCTACAAATGCTTACAAAGTGCCTAACTTTAAAATCTGCAAACCAATTATAGGGGGAAAAAATCGAGTATCCAAATAAAAGCTAGCTTTAAGGCTTAGTACCTACATAGGGATAATTAATATAAATAGGATTATCTGTGAACTTGTTAATGTGTTTGTGATGCAGAGATAGAAGTGAAAGGGTTTGTGTGTGTAAAATACAGTTAGGTAAAATTGTGTTGCATCATGTTATTAAACAATTTAATACAAGGCCATCAATATGATCATAGTTTCAGCTGTTTCCTAAATTTGGGTAGTATCATGTGTCCCCCAAAATAAGACAGGGTTTTGTTTTCTTTTGACCCTCGAAATAAGTGCTTGGCCTTATTTTGGATGAGGTCTTATTTTGAGCTGCAGGAGGCAGCGAGCGTGGTCACCTCACGGCTGCTGTTGTGTTGCAATATTTTCAGGGAGGGCTTTTTTGGGGGGGAGGGCTTATTTTAGTGCATGCGCTCAACCCCCCCCCCAATTGGGCTTATTTTTGGGGAAACAGTATTATATGACTAATTCCTTTCTCAAGCTTGCTTGTTCCAGTTTCATTTCCACGCTATCAGATTCTAATAACTTGACTACCAGAATGTTAGTCCACAATTTGCACTGAAGTAGAATGCTAATCTTTTAACTTGTTAGCGTCCTTGTGAAATATACCCGTTGGCCAAAATATATCCCACAGGATAATCTTGCTTTATGATTTCAAAGATTACCATTCCACTTTTTAAAAAAAAGACCTTTAGCGGCTACACTTTTTGCATTGGCTCTACCGCTTGAGATGGGAATTTTTAATGCCTTTTGCTGTCTTGAGAATCCGGGCATCCTGTAAATCTGCTCCAGCATATGTGTGAGAGTGATAGAATGTCATCTTTGATACTGTGCGTCAGAGGTGGGTTCCTACCAGTTCGCACCAGTTCTGTAGAACCGGTTCGTCAAATCTACCGAACCGGTTAGAAGAGGTTCCACCAAAAAGCAGGCCACACCTACAGAAGAGGTTCCAAAATTTTTTGAAACCCACCACACTCTCTCTCTCTCTCTCCCTCTCTCTCTCTCTCTCTCTCTCACACACACACACACACACACCGAAAGAGAAAGAGAAAGAAAGGAAGAAAAAAAGAAAAAGTGAGAGAGAGATGAAAGAAAAAAAGGAAAAAGGACAGAGACAAAAGAAAGGAGAGAGAGAGAGAGAGAGAGAGAGAGAGAGAGAGAGAACACATGGCCAGAAAGCCATTCCCACCAGGGCACATGGCCAGCAAGCCACTCCCACAAAGGAGGCCACTCCCACAGAGTAGGTTCGGAAAAAAATTGAAACCCACCACTACTGTGCGTTGAATAGAAATTGAAACCACAATTCTATTTATTTACTAATCGAATTTATACATTGCTCCATCTCACCGCCAAAGTGACTCTGCCTGGTTTACAAGTTACAAGCAATAAAATCCACATAAAAATCCATTCAAAAATAGACAAAAGTTAAAAAAATAAAGGAGGGAGCACCCTCAAGCCACCAGCCTTCCTCAGGGTTATGTCCCACACTTGGCTCTCCATAAAAGTTGACACAGCCAGGTCTTAACCAGAAAGCCAGCCGAGGATGATGGGCAACCATGCCAAGAGGTCCCACAGGGCAGGAGGAATGCTTTAATATTGAACATAGTTTTGCAAAAACATGATAAAGAGTTATGGTAACAACCAGTTAAAATGTGCAGGCCCTTTGAAAATATTTACTTTTTAAAGCAAAACCTTTTCTCTTTTATTAGTTTTTTAATCAGGTTTTGGTACTAGGAAAGTCTTCTGTGAGTGACTTGTCTGAGCATATATTTGATCTAATACAAGAACTTTTCGCTGTCGATCCTAATCTACTGTTGTCTGTCATGCCACAGCTGGAGTTCAAGCTGAAGGTAGGAAAGAATTGATCTCGCCTCCAATTCTGTACGAAAGAATTTGTATGAAAGTCTGTAGCATTTGCATATGGAAAAGTGAGTTTGTTTTCTGCGTCTTTTTGCAAGTTGCTGAGATGGAAGTACAGAAGGGCAGAGGGGCTGGGGTTGCATTGCAAATGTGTATTGGCAGTTTTGACACGATGATTGAGGATAGGCAGGCATGAATCTGTGAGGTTTTCCAGAACAAATTTGTTTCTATGCTTGCCAATGGAAGTAACTATAGCTTGGACAACGTCCCAAAAATCATTGGCAGGTTCATGAAACAGAATAAGTAATACCATCCTAGGCTGTATCGCAGAAGGATGGAGCTGTGGCGGTGCAGTGGTTAGAATGCAGTATTGCAGGCTAATTCTGCAAGCAGTTTGATCCTGACCAGCTCAAGGTTGTCTCAACCTTCTGTCCTTCCGAGGTCGGTAAAATAAGGACCCAGATTGTTGCGGAGCAGGGTGGGGAGCAGTATGCTGACTCTGTGAAACCGCTTAGATTGGTCTTTTGACAAGCAAAGTCAATGGGGAAGCCAGATTCACTTAACAACCTGTCTGGCTAATTTAACAGCTGCAGAGATTCACTTAACAACAGTGGCAAGTAAGGGCATAAAATGACCCAAAGCTTACTTAACAACTATCTCGCCTAGCAACAGAGGTTTTGGGCTCACTTGTGATCATAAGTCAAGGACTATCTGAATTGAACCTGGTAAAGGATTTCAAGAGGAGAGCCTAAGTTTAAACTACGTTACTTTGATTTAACTTACCATATTTTTCAGAATATAAGACACTCCTAAGTATAAGATGCACCTACCTTTTGGGGACGAAAACAAGAAAAAAAAATCTGTCTCTGCCTCCCAGCAATTTGCCTCCTTGCAGCAAACAGCCTGTTTCAGTTTCAGTACAACCTGATTAGCACAAGCAGCTGATTGTCTGTTGGATCGGCCTCCGGCAATCAGCTGTTCCAGGCTGCAGGGATTGCTGTAGCCTATTGCCACCTCCGTGCACCCCATTTTCGGCCTCCACATCCTGTTTTCAGCCTCCGCAAGCTCCGTTTTCGGCCTCCGCACACCCTCTTTTGGAGGAGGGGAGGGGGAGTGCGTCTTATACTCCGAAAAATGCAGTACTTTGTGGAATGAGAGCAAATATTCCAACCTGCTTAAACGTTACATCCGTACATTTCACTTTTTTCTTTTTAACTGACAGAGCAATGATGGAGAAGAACGCTTAGCTGTCGTAAGGCTTTTAGCAAAGTTATTTGGTTCCAAAGATTCGGATCTTGCAACACAAAATCGTCCACTTTGGCAGTGTTTTCTTGGCAGGTGAGAAATGTACCTCTATATATTCGGTTGGGTTGATTTTAGCCATTTTTTTTTCCAGTAATACCTTTTAAAAAACTTTTTTATTTTTTTAAAAGCCCTATATAAAATTTGTAACACAGTGAATACTATGTGTATTTATTGTATTATAGCAAATGACATATTTTGAAATTGAAATGCCACCTATAATTTTGATGTTTTAGCCAGATAGATTATTTTCCCTTGGCTTTATATTATGCTGTTATCGTTCCTTGAAATAATATGCATGTACAGTGAATGCACGTTTGTATTTACATTCACCTTGAATAACTGAATATAGTAATTACTTTTTGCTTTATCTTAAGAAATTGAGTGGTTTTGAGAAATTATCCATTTTAATTTTCCTGTCTTTTCTGTGTTTTAAACTGAAAATACTTACTTTGTGTTCTATTTATTCAGTTTGCTTTATTGTGTGAGATGCTCAGTATGTTGGATTATATATTTGCTGCATTCTGAAAGTATATTTTCATAAAAGCATATTTAGTTTAATTATGTTCGTCACTGAAGCCAAATATAATTTTTGATTTATATATTCCTCTCTTTTAGATTCAATGATATTCATGTTCCTGTGAGATTAGAAAGTGTGAAATTTGCAAGTCATTGTTTAATGAACCATCCAGATTTAGCAAAAGACCTCACTGGTAAGATAATTCAGAAGTATTGAGGATAATAGGTTCAGAGAAATAACGTGGAGACACAGCACTGGTTTGATAATAATCAAAGTATTGTTATTTATGAGGCTTAAAATTGCACAGTGGCAGCTAGGACAGCACTCCAGAGGGTCAACGTCATTGCCCAGAGGATCATGGGTTGCCCTCTCCCCTCCATGGAAGAGCTTTATAGTTCCCGCTGCATCAAGAAAGTTCAAAACATCCTTAAAGATCCTGGGCACCCTTTTTTTTGAACTATTACCATCTGGCAGCCGGTACAGGACAATAAAAACAAGGACAAAGAGGCTGAAAAACAGCTTCTATCCCAGGGCAGAAACTATATTGAATTCTATGGTATAGTACAATATTAATGCAATATCGGGTTTTCATTTTCAATTATATAGCATGTGAAGGATGTGTCTTTGTGTTTTTATTTTTATAATGTACACTGAAGATGGCATTTAATTTCCTTGTACGGTGTGCAATGAAAATAAACTAAACTAAGCAAAAAGGCATGTTGGAGGTATATTTCTTCATAGAAAGAATAGGAAATGTTAATGGTGCTTATATCTTGCACCACCCAACATATAAAATAAGAGGAAGTGTTTATCAATCCATCTGTGAAATGCAATCAGATTATCAACTCAGTGCAACAGGCTTTCTACAAATCAGACCTTCCATTGTCATCCCTCTGTGAAGTTTCCAAAAAGATGACTAATTAAGTTACTTGCCTATTTAACTTCATATGCATTTCCTCGACTTACAGTTAAGAGACAGATTGTGTTGACGCCACTAATGCTGACTGTCAATTTGTTCTGCATCAGATCTCTTAGTTGTAATATTCCTAAAGGCTTTTTGCTCTTTAGTTGCAGGCGTATGAACACATGGTATATTTCAGGAGAAGTTTCACACTTTTCTTTTCCTTTTTGAAATAGAATACTTAAAAGTCAGATCCCATGATCCAGAGGAAGCCATTCGCCACGATGTCATTGTCACAATCATCACTGCGGGGAAAAGAGATCTTTCTTTAGTCAATGACCAGCTCCTTGGCTTTGTCAGAGAAAGGACCCTGGATAAGCGGGTAAAGTCACTTGAATCTTAACAATTTCCACCTTCGAGGCTCCCTGCATGTTCTGAGGGCCTGGATGGAAAGAAATTGAATGCTGTTGTGTTAAAAATGAATGGCAGCTATTGAAAGGAGAGTTCAGTCGCCAGTGCTCCCTTTCATCTGCATATAAAAATTGATGAGCTGTTTTATGTTGACAAGGGACGCGGTGGCTCAGTGGCTAAGACCCTGAGCTTGTCGATCAGAAAGGTCGGCAGTTTGGCAGTTCGAATCCCTAGCGCCACCGCGTAACGGAGTGAGCTTCCGTTACTTGTCCCTGCTTCTGCCAACCTAGCAGTTCGAAAACACGTAAAAAATGCAAGTAGAAAAATAGGAACCACCTTTGATGGGAAGGGAACAGCTTTCCATGCGCCTTCGATGTCTAGTCATGCCGGCTACATGCCCACGGAGGCATCTTTGGACAGCGCTGGCTCTTCAGTTTTGAAACGGAGATGAGCACCGCCCCCTAGAGTCGGGAACGACTAGCACATACGTGCGAGGGGAACCTTATCTTTACCTTTTTTATGTTGACAAATACAAAACTGATATTTCTTGTCCGGGAGTCCCGTGCGTGAGAGATCGTTTGCTATCGTTGCTGTAGTGTGTTTTGCAAAAGGAAAGGAGTTTCCCCAAAAGCTTTGGGTAATTTACAAGCTGTGTTGATTTTATCATTTAGAAATTACAATCTCAATTGTTTATGGAGGTTCTCAGTCATCCAGGTCATGGTTGTCCCAAAGCTGCTTTTTCAAAAGGCAACTGGACTTTCCTGCCTTTTGAAGAAATTCCATTTGGTGTGTCTAATACAGTGTTTCCCAACCTTGGCAACTTGAAGATGTCCGGACTTCAACTCCCAGAATTCCCCAGCNTGGGGAAGAAATAGCTAATGAACTTTTTATAAAGGCGTGCCAAAATTGTGTGTGTGCACACTATCACATGTGTGCTCACACCCACAATTCAATGCGCCCCTCCCACCTGCGCATGCGCAGGTGCCCCCCCCCACATGCACGCATGAAACCCCTCCCCCCGAGGGGCGGGGAGTTTTAGCCCTCCCCAGGCTCCGGAGGCTTTCCTGAAGCCTGGGGGAAAGCGAAATCAGGCTCAGTGGACCAACCGGAAGTTCGGAAAGGACCCGTTTCCGGGTGCTGGGTGAGGCCGAAAATCATCTGGCATGCCAGAGCTGACTGCTCACATGCCGGCAAATATGGCTCCGCATGCCACAGATTTGCCATCACGGGGCTAATCAAAGCATTCACAAACCTTTACGCATCACTGTAGTTAATCATTACCTTTGAACAAAAGCTTTTGTGACTTTTCTTAATGCTGGGAGTATTACTTCAGTTGCAGAAAAATACAAGATAGAAATCTATAGATAGTAGAATTCATTAAAAAAAATCTTCGTTCTTGTTTTGCAGGATATATTTTTGTTTATTACAAGACAGTTAAAAGGATTAGAGGACACTAAAAGCCCTCAGTTTAACAGATACTTTTACTTATTAGAGGTAAGAATTTGTATCAAATTAAATCAAATATGTATCAGTGCTCAATAAAATTTCAGTTATATTTATGAATGTTTTAGCGTTTCTATTGAAAAGTAAAAAGGCAAAATATTTTTTCCCTTTGTGCCTTTTCATTTTAATATATCAAAGCGTACAAAAAATGTCATGCTTTTTTTTCAACAAACTAGGGTCTCATCATTGGCAAGTTATTTTGAGGTTATGCTGACCTTTTGCCATATACATGTAGTTCGGATCGAAATGATAATATTAATGCTTTGTTTTTGTCACAGAACTTAGCGTGGGTTAAATCTTACAACATCTGCTTTGAGTTGGAAGATTGCAATGAAATTTTTATTCAGCTTTTTAGGACTCTCTTTTCAGTTATCAAGTAAGTTGGAGTATTCACGCCTAGATGCAAGTGCAAATTTGCTAATTCTGTTACGTTAATAAAGATATACAGTATTTCTGCAATGTAATTATGTTTTTATTACAACTTTATAAAACAATACTAGCAATGAACTTTAGGGTTGCAAAAATTGATTCTGTAATGGCAGAATTACCTGGCTGAGAAATACACCATGGCAACCATAGGCATGCCTAAATATCAAAATCAAGTTCTTTATATCTTATGAATCTAATATATCCAAGCAGTGAGCCTGAGGTTCATGAAAATTTTGCTTCTTTCTAGCTTCAGTTTAATTCTCTGAGTCAAGATAATTAATTGGCAAGGCAGTTGATGGAGGACAAAAAATATAATCTGACAGAATCGGACAATTTTTAATTGCTGGTTGACTGATTAATTGACTGACTACTTGTCTGGCGATTGCTTGATGATGCTACCTAGTTTGGTAGTGAAATGTCTGCAAGAAAACTAGCAAGCTTAGAGAGCATCAATTAGAACATATTACTTTCCCATATAAAAATATGGGGGTGGGGGGTTGCCTTTGGGGTACAGTGACATTGGCAAGAAACTAAAAATTCATCCTGAATTGCTCAACTCGTTTTTGCCCTGAGAGTGAAATTCAGAGAGACGATGTTAGAAATCTTCCTGATTAAACATGTAACCATTCTCCTCATCCTATGCAAACGATTTGGATAATGAGTATTAATGATTCAGTGAATTAGTGGGAAAGGTATGGGGAAAACAGAAGAGCCTGAATAACATGGTGTTTCCCAGTAAAACCAAAAGAGAAATAAACTTATAATGATTTTCATATGACCTGGTCATTTTTATCAAAAACTAGCCGATAACCTGGGGTTGCCCAAGTATTTATTTATAGGGGGAAAATGTCCTGACCAAACATAATTTCTAATGTTGGATTTTCCCCCTTACCAGAGGGAGCCCCCTTGTGGAGTACTGTGAAGCCATTACCATGGCAACTCCACTTACTGCACAGTAGAAGGCATTTTAAGGCACAACAGGCTGTATCTTAACAGAACACCCATCCCGAGGGGTGTTAGGGGTATCTTACCCCCACAGTATTTTTTTTTCCAGAGAGTAAGCCATCTGTGTACCAAGTTTGGTTGAAATTGCTTGAGGTGTTCCAGAGTTGTGCTGGAACATACATACATACAGCCTTTTTTATTAGCTTAAAAAAAGATTAATAATTATTATATAGATTATATAATAATAATATAAATAAATAAATATAATATAATTGCTCTAGGCGTTCTGGAGTTATGCTGGAACACACACACACACACACCAGTGTGTGTATGTGTGTGTGTAAAAGATTACTGACTGAAATTGAGTAGCAAATTGTTTTAATTGAGTACTAACACCATTGTCTCTCAATAATCTACTTCTAATGTTTTATTTAGCAATAGCCACAATCAGAAGGTCCAAATGCATATGCTAGATTTGATGAGTTCTATCATCATGGAAGGCGATGGGGTGACTCAAGAACTGTTGGACTCCATTCTTATCAACCTCATTCCTGCACACAAGGTTTGCAAAGACCAAAAAAAATCAAAAACAAAACACCCTCTTGCGTTCTTGGCATAGAAATTGAAAGTCTTCTCTTACCGCAGGAGATGGGAACTATGGCCTTTTTATGACCTCTGGACTTCAACTCCCAGAATTCTTGTCTTCTTGAATTCTGGGAGTTGAAGTCCACAAATCATAAAAGGGCCCTAGTGCCTCATTTCTATCTTACATGACATATTGCCAAAATAATAGAAAACTTAGTAGCCTTTCGCTGATCTTTCCTTTCTCTTGCTTCTACTGGAACTTCACAGGGGCGACCTTAATTTTTAAATTCAAAGATGTTCAGAAAAACGATAAGGGACTTGTTGGTAAAGACAGTGTTTCTCAACCTTGGCAACTTGAAGATGTCCGGACTTCAACTCCCAGAATTCCCCAGCCAGCGAACGCTGGCTGGGGAATTNGGAGTTGAAGTCCAGACATCTTCAAGTTGCTAAGGTTGGGAAACACTGGTCTAATAGGAAGGTAGTTTGCTTTTGGTTCTCCTGAGAAGTTTGCATTAAATGCTTCTTGAAGAGGGTCAGGAGTGGGGTTCAAAAGTTCCACTAACGGGTTCACTGCCCCGTTGCTGGGTGGGCGTGGTGGGCATGGCCTAGTTGGCCTCCTGCACCATGGGGGGGGGGCGGGTTGTCCTCCCAAGGCTCCAGAGGCTTTCCTCGAGCCTCTGGGAAGGCGAACCTGATTCCCCCAGGCTCCAGAGGCCCTCCGGAGGCCGGAAACAGGCCCGTTTCCAGAGTTCCGGAACCACTGGTAGGCCCGTTTTTCACCCTCCATGACCCTCCTGCACTTACCTTGCACGATGAACGGGCTGCGTGGAGACTCTGGAAAGAGAAGGATGGGGTGGGCATAGCCAGCCAGGGGTGGCATTTGGGGGTTTGCCAAACCGGACAGAATCCTACCTAAAGGATCGCCTGAACTTGTGCGAACCCCCAGCAGCCCACTTCTGAAGAGGGTTCAATCCTTGGAGGGCTGCCACAAGAGAGGGAGCAGTTTACAAAGCCCCTGAGGACAGGAAGCAACAGGTGGGAAGCTTGTCAGAAGGGAGACCTGGAACTCGGGAGGAATTTCCTGACATTTGAGAACTATTAATCAGTGCCTCCCGAAATTGTGGGTGCTTTGTTGCTGGAGGTGCCCGTGAAGATTCTCAGTCACCCAGGTCGTGGTTGTCCCAAAGATGCTTTTTCAAAAGGCAACTGGGCGTCCTTGGTTTTTCTTTGAAGAAGAAAAAGAAGCTCCTTGAATGTGAAGCGAAACATCTTCAAGGAAAACCCAAGAAAGTCCAGTTGCCTTTTGCAAAAGCACCTTGGTCCCATCTCCATCATCAGTGTGGGTTTGATAAGGCCTCTAACATAAAGAGGGCTGCCTTTTCTGCGGTGAGTCAAACTACCAACTTTCCCGATGTGTCCTGGTCATTAATTTTTAAGCTGAAGCTGTTTGTAACATCACCTGGGCTTGTGTCTCCTTTTTTTTTAAAGTGGCGGGTAAGAAAAGAAGCGATGATGGGACTCGCTCAGTTGTATAAGAAATACTGCCTTCACGCTGAAGCCGGAAAAGACGCAGCAGAGAAAGTCAGCTGGATAAAGGACAAACTTTTGCACATATATTATCAGAATAGCATTGATGATAAGTAAGTGAATGGATCTGCTCTTTCATCCTCTTTTAACGACCCCGTAACGCCTTGCGGGCAACTGAATGGAGCTAGCAGAGCGTTTTAATGGCCAGATGCTCTTCCCGTCACCAGTGCGGAGTTTTGTTCAGCAGATATATTCTCATTGTGCCCAGAGAGAGAAATATCTGCCACTACCTAGGGTCAAACTCCTGATTGTGAGGCGAGAGCGCCACCTCTAGGCCACTGCACCACTCCAGTGGATCTGCTCTTTCCCCAGAATAAAATCACAAAGCAGTCTGACCCTTCCCTCCATCCTTCCTTTATTGGAGGCCAGCCACAGGGCTGCCCACTGACATTTGGCAGATGTATGATCAACTATCCCGCCTTCTCATATGTATCACAGGAATGGATTGCCTCCCCTTGGCCTCTTGGCCTTGCAGACCTTGCTCTGCCATATGTACATGCGTAGGACATTTTCCCCNGTTGGAGGAACCGGGACCGGATCGGTTGGCAGGCAGCGGCGAAGCGGGAGCCGGGGTGGGAAGGACCAGGCGCCGGTCGAAAAAGGGTCTTTTGCCTCGGAGTAGAGTGAGCGCAGCCAGCTCCAGACCCCCATTGCTTGAGGGGTGGGAGAAGACAGGGGGGAGGAAGCCCCGAAGGGGAACGCGGGCCCAGAGGGCGGCTGAAAGAGGGGCGCGAAGCTGGGAGGGGGGAGGGCTCCCGGGGGTCGCAAAGCGGCGGAGTTTGGAGAGGAAGAAGGCTGGAAAACGCGAGGGGTTTTGGACGAGACGGGGGCTCAGTCGAGAAGGCGCTGCCGGGGGTTTGGAAGGGGGAGAGATGTCCAGAAACGCCCTCCTACCTCTGAAGTCTCTAGGCTGGGACCCTCGGAAGCGAAGGCGGCCCTTACCTCGCACCAGGATCCGGCGGCAATAATCCGTTTCGCCCGCGGGGGACTGGCTGCCGCTCTCCGACGCGCACTCTTGGGAAGGGCCGCTGGAAGCCGACGTCCCCGCCGCCAGGTCCCTGAGCTCGCCGCCGCCTCCTCCTCCTCCGCCGCCGCGTCCCTTGGCGGCCTCCTTGTCCCGCGCCCGCTCGAAGGTCCCGCCGGGGTCGCCCAGGAGGTGGGCGCGTCTGCCAGAGCCGCTGCCCGCATCGCTCATGCCGGCCGGGAACATGGGCGCCTTCTCTGCCGAGCCCCTTCTTCCTGCCAGCTACTCGGGGTCGCCAACGGGGGTCCGGGAAGCCCAGGGGGGCGGCATGACGCCCGGCCAACCTCGGCCAGTTTTCCCGCTCTGGAGGCCTCCGGCTGCCCCTGACCTAGATAGCTGGACGCGAGCCCCGAAGCCCCCCGACCTGCGCCTCCCCTAAAAGCCGCGGCTGCCTTGAGAAGCCCCGGGAGAGGCAGAAGCGCGGCGGGTCCGGAGGTCCGGCAGAGTCTCGGCCATGGCTCGGTTGCCCGGCCGGGTCGGTGGGTTCAAACTTGGCCGGTCCAGCGCGCTCCGTCCGCCTCCATCCCCGCGCTGCGCCCCTGCCTCCCGCCCGCCAGCTCCGCGCCGTCTCCCTCTGATGAGCGAAGGGCGAGCGGGCGAGCGCAGCCAGCAAACACCGCCCCCCCGCCCCGCCGCCCACCCCCGCCAGGTTGGACCATCCCCGGCTCCAGGCGACCCCGGCCGAGACGCGTTGGAGTCGGGGCGGAGAGATCTCGGGCAGAGCCTTCCCGAGCCCCGCCCCCCCCCGGTCTCGCCCCGCCTTCTCTGAGCGCTGAGCGCTGGGGGGGAGGGGGGAGAAGCGAGATGGGGGTGGGCGGGCGGCTATACACCCCCCCCCATCCCCGCCTCACGTAATTTCCTGCGGCCCGGTTCATTCATTGGCGAACAAAGAACGGCTGGGCGGCTCCCGCGCACCTTCCCTCCGCGAGTGTCCGCGGTGGCCTTCGGGCATCCCTCTTGGTCCCCCCGGGGCTGGCAGACCCCCGGAGTCCGTCTCCTGGCCGGCCCAGCTGTCGACCACCCCGCTCCCCCGGCTTGGGGAGAGCCGCCGTTCACAGGCGCTGCTCCGCCGGGCTGGAAGAACGGAGTAGAACGGTTCCCGGAACCGGTGCGAGGTTCAGGGTCCGTTAGAGCAGCCGTGGTGGCAGAGAGCTTTGGTCGCCCGCTGCCTCTTTTCGGATGCAGGGCAAAAAGCGGGGCTCGCGGGGGCTCCTTTCCCCTCCTTTCCTTATCGTTCCCTTCCTTTCATTCCAGCTCCATCCACCCATCCATCCATTGATAGGTTGAGCCGGGAAAATGCGAGGCAAACGGATTGCACAGACAGGCTGCTCGCTAATAACCGCGTCCTGGGACGCCTCCTCGGTGTAACCGAGTCTTTCCCCCCCCCCGCCCCCCGGTCTTGCCCTGGTGAAGCTGCTGCTTGTTCTAACCACCCCCGGCCAATCTGTTTCGTGAGAAAGAGTTAGAGACCCTCACCCACCCGGGTTGGCTGCGCGGAAGCTTCCGCCTTCAAAATTTGGGGCAGAGAGAAGGGGGGGGGGCGGAGGATGGAGCTGGCCCTGAATCCACCCAACCGGTTTCCGCGTCTGAAGGAAGAGCCGCGCGGCCCCTTCCCCACTTGAGCCCGGCGGTGCCCCTTGGGCTCAAAGAGACAGGCGCACCCAGCCGTCCTCCGACCAGAAGGGAGAACTCGCGTTCTCCCTGCTCCCCGGACTGGTGGGGCGAGAACCGGCTTAGTCCGCGGGTGCCAAAAACACACGGAGGAATCCCAGAGTGGCTTAAAATCCCGTGGATTTTAATCAAAGGCAGAAGGACATAAGGAGAAGCTGTTTTCCCGCCTGGGGAAATGCGGGATTCCCTTGGAAAACTCGTAAGAGTTTCAAAACACTGGGTGTGTGGGGGGGTATGGAGTGAGTGGGGGGGGGGGTGTCATTCCCCTTCCGACTGACCCCAAAGACAGAAGCGATCGAGGGCCTCGGCTCATTCCGATGCGGAGGTTGCCTGGCCTGGTGGAGGACTTAAATTCGGGGAAGGGGCGAGGGGCGGAAGAGAAGGGAGGCTGGGCCTGCAGACAGGGGGCTCCGCGTCTTTTAAGCAGCCTCGGACTTTTGGAAAAAGTGCTTTCCTAGCTGGGGAAGACCCCCACCCACCCAGGGCATTTCCTAACCAGCTGGGGGTGGTGTTTGCGTTTGTGCGTGGACGCGTGACGACCGCTTCTCCCGTTCAATTCTGCACTAGTTGGAGAAGGTTTCCGGCTTCCTGTGGTGCGGAGAAACCCCCTTCTCGGGGCTCCGTTAGCCTGGGCCTAGGGCTCCCTCAACGCGTGTGGGATTTTTTCCCCCCTTGGCATCCAGTTGCCACCGTTAAGAAGGAAAACCAGCGCGTCCTTCCGGGTTTCCCCGTGGAATTTATTTCACGTGTGGCACCTGCGGAACTCCTGCTGTCGCTGGTGTACACGTATAATTTAAATTAAGCCTCGTCCCGTGGGGATTATTTCGGTTTTTTGGACGAGCTGCCGGGAGAGAGCCGAGCTTCAAAGACGTATTGGGCAAAGAATTAATTCTCGTTCAAATTCTTCCCCAAATTCCTCAGAATTCTGGATCTTTTAGCAGCCTCCCGCTTTCCCGGTGACCTGCCCGAACCTCGGATAAAACCAACACACACTCACTCACTCGCCATAAAAGCAAAGCCTTGTTGCATCTCCAGGACAAGCCCCCCCAAAAAAAATATTTAAAAAAAAAGCCCAAGGAATTTAGCCAGGGATCAGATTTTATTCGTCAAGAAAAATGCAAAGCTG